CTATAGTTATATGCATGCATACAAGTCCTTTGGTTGATCTCTCCCCCTTACCCCCACCCTCCCCTATCTTCCCTCTCAGATTTGAGCATCTGATCGATGCTTCTGTCTCTGGATCTGTTTTTGTCACTTACATTTTTATATCATCTTCCTCATGTCTCCACATCATGTAGATTCTCAGTAAAGAGAAAGTTCTCAGGTAATGCTTGATCCAAACAAAGAGGAAATAAGTTCTGGTTTTTAAGAGTTTTTAGAGTGTTTTAAAATTTTTGAGCCATAGCTCTTCAGCTGATATTCTTATATTTTTTGTAAAACATAGGAGAGGGTAGTGCAAAGAACAAGGGCTTACTTGTTTTGAATCTAGCAACTTTACTAGCTTCTTTACTTTGAGCAAGTTACTAAACTTCTCTGGATTCTTGATTACCTAATATCTAAAATAGGATATTATTACCTTAGATTTGTAAGGATTGAATGAAATATACATAAAGCCTCAGTTTTCTTCTAGCCTTTGAATCAGTTATTACTAAGGGAGGTAAAAATGAATTTTTAATCACATCATCTTTTCTTTCCTCCTCTGTTTATCCCATATTTAAATAGTGGTTGTAGTAGGATATGTTGGGTGACATCGGTGAATCCCCCTTCTCCTTCATATTTTCCTTTTAAGAGGCCTTTTTCATCATTTAAACTTTAGATGATGTATCAGTAGATTTGGGGGATATTTTTAAGCTGACATAGTATCTTTGTTCCTGCCTTTCTTTGTTTTCCCCGCCCCCCTTTCACAGAGGATCTTCAAATGCTTCCTTAAAGGAAGAAGAATATAAGGAGCCTCTGCTCTTCCATTCTGGAGATCACTACCCCTTATCCGATGGAGATTGGTCCCCTTTGGACACGTAAGTATTTTCAAAATTTCTGTTTCTTAAAGGAAAAATATATTAACTTGCCTTTTCTGTTATTGGACAGTAATGGTGTTTCCTATTTCTCTCAGACAGTAGAGGCACTGAATGTATACTTTTAACATGAATATGGACCTTTTCTCTCAATAATTATTTTGTTCCTAAACTTGGTTAAATTTACTGTGTTGGCACTGTACATCTGTATGATCAGCATGGAGTTTGGCTCTCTACAATTCTTAATTTCTAATCTTTTAGTGTTAACTATTAATTGTACTGTGTATAACATTATGAATGTGCAGTCAGGCTTTGTTCTGTGTTCAAATCCAGTTTCTCTCATGTAGTAATGTTAATTTAATCCATCTTTCCATGCACTTTCTCTCCTGTAAAATTACCTTTCTTATAGATTTCTTGTGAGAATCAAATGGGATGATGCATAGAAAATGTTTACAGCAAGTCCACCATAAATACTAGTGTGCACCGTTTTTATTATTAATAAAAAACTCAAGAGGAAGAAATAATTGACATTTTAAAAATAGATTCTTTATATCAGCAGGATACAGTTAATATATTCAAACTTACATTTTTTAATCTGTCAAACTCAGCAACACTGAAGTTCCTGACTTTAAATTCATTACATTTCTTTGTAATGTGTTTGCAGCCCGTATTCCCCAGCAGCATGTCCTAAGAGTGATTCAGAGCTGGAGGTGAAACCCGCCGAGAGCCTACTCAGATCCGAGTCCCACATGGAATGGACGTGGGGCGGGTTCCCAGAGTCCACCAAGGTACTAGGGTTTACTTACCTACAGAGTAGTGTGTTGTCCATGAGTGAAGGGGTAGTAGCTGACTGAGTCATATGAACATAAATGATGGTAGTGCCCTCATGGGGTCACATAAGTAAATTCAAAGTTAACATTTTTCATGTTTGCACTGTGTACAACAAAGGAAATCTGGCTTTATTTTCTGTGCTTCTATTTAGTAAATAATGTTGATTGTTAATTAACATTATAGTAAGGAAAATTTAAAATGTACCTAATGGAATTTTCACACTGAAATTTTAAATAGGAAATTTATTGTGAAAGCTTTTTTGCCAACTCATAATGAGAGAAGAATTGGAAAGATACATTTTTTATTTATTCATTTTTTAAGAGAGACTGCTTTTATTTTATGTATGTGAATTACCCCAACTTTAAGGTTTTCTTTCTGATTTTTAAAAATTTACTTTAGAGTTGACAAATAATAATATATTGGTTTCAGGTGTACAACATAGTGTTTCAGCATTTATATACCTTACAAAATGACCACCATAATTACTCTAGTAACCATCTGTCACCATACCTAGTTATTATGACATTACTGACTCTTATTCCCTATGCTATACATTACACTCCTGTGACTTTTTTATAACTGGAAGTTTATACTTTTTAATTCCCTTGCCCTTTTCTGCCCAACCCCACAACCTCCTCCCTTTTGGAAACCATCAGTTTATTTTTTGTACTATGAGTTTGTTTCTGTATCATTTTGTTTCTTCTCTTTTTTTATGTTCCAGATATAAGTGAAATCATATGGTGTTTGTCTTTCTCTGTCTCTTGGAAGAAGAAATTTAGACCTCTAGTTTTTTAAAGATATACATTTGCTTATATGTGTGATTGCATTTGAGACTTCACTACCCACTTTTACTTTTTTAAAAATTGGTCTGTAACATGTAAGTTTCAGGTGTACAACATTATAACTCAACATCTTACATTGTTTTAACAGAGCCTGAAGGTAGTGCAAGCAGGGCTAAATTTTTCTGTAGTATTCAAGTTTTCTCCCTGAAAATGAATATTCTCCCTCTTAGTATCTAAAAATTGTTATCTATTTCCTCAGTCTTCTCCAATATTGAACTCTTCATAGTAGAACCAGTTATAAATATAACTTTTATAAATATGATATTGAACAAAATGTGGTTATTAGTTTTCCCACTTTTCAATTATGAAATATTTCACACATAGAAAATAACGTATTTACTGAATATGTTGTTTAAATAAAATAAGCACGTTTATTTGCATCCAGCTCAAGAAATAGGCTATAACACTTTTGAAAGTAGTTTAATTTTTAAACATTTCAACTTTTTTAGGTCAGCAAAAGAGAGAGATCTGACCATCATCCCAGGACAGCTACGATTACTCCATCAGAAAATACCCATTTTCGGGTAATTCCCAGTGAGGACCACCTTATAAATGAAGTTGAGAAGGATGCGTCCATGGGAGAAACGGTCTGTACCATAGTAAAACCCAAACCCAGAGCCCCGTGTAAGCGGATGAGCGATGCAACTTGCGCTGCAGAACTTCTTGAGCCTCTCCTTGAGCCTCAGATTTCATCTATGTTAGATGCAGACCACCTTCCTAACCCATCGTTAGTGGAGGCTCCCTCAGAATCAAAACCAGCAGCTAAAGTAGACTCGCCATCAAAGAAGAAAGGTAATTATTTGTTTAATTTGGCATCAGGTACTCTAAATTTCGATGGTAAATTATTTCAGTGTTTCAAATAATGTGTGATGACTATCATTATATCTGTACAGCTTGATTAGAACCTGTTACAACACTATTGGAATCACTTGTTTCATATGGCTTCCCCATCGCACTACAGGATCCACTGGAGTGGGACTCTGACTTCTTCCCTGCTCTCCCACAGCTGTTGCTACTCAATAGGCCTTTGAGAAGCACTTACTGAAAAAAAAATATATTTAAATAAGTTAATGAGTAAAATAAACCACTTTATTGACGAGGTGTGTCAATAAAGTAAAGTGGAATCCTAAAAAATTATGTTTAAACAACAAAAAATTAGACTAGAGAAAAATATTTTCACCTAAAACTTCTGGTTAGTTGAGGCCAAATTAAGTACTTTTTTTTTCAATAATATGAGATATATAGATAAATGTACACTAATAATTAGCATATGTTCTCTTTCACTGACTGTTTTCCTCCAAAACAGAATGTAGGGCCCAACTCTTGGCTCAACATCTCTATCCCACTTTTGGAATACAAGTTTAATAAATCATAACATTCTTTCTGTTTAAAAACAAAAGTTATTCATTGATACTTGTTACAGTAAGAGCCAAAACACACTCACTATCTGAACACTAGCCTTGGATCCTATTTTTAGGGAAGTAAAACCTTACCTAAAAATACACATTGTCACATATAGCCAAATATCTACTTCCATTTTTTAAAATTCTAACACCAAAGGATAGATAATTAATTTAGTAAATATT